TGTGTGTGTGAATGATCTTAATTTTCAAATCTGAGATTGAAATTCTTTTATATAACAAAGACTTTAAAGGGAGTCTTATTACAGTTTTAAATTAAAACTTAATTGAAATTTAATGGTTGTAGTAAGCCTTGCTTATCCTGTCCTCCAAGCTTGAGTAAGTTATATTGGTGACTGTATGTTTCACCTGGATGACAAACTTGCCATTTTCTCTTACATCAATAGTGGACAGAATTCTTCCTTAGATAGTTTCAAACTCTTAATATCTGAGTTTTCATGAAATGCTTCTAGCATATTTTAATATAATCACATAAGCCCCTAAAACTCTTGGATAAAAAAGGTTAATTGTGATAAGAACTGAATTCTCCTGACTGGTGATCTAGAACTCTCCTTTCCCAGCTGACTGATTGTAATAGCTCCTGGAAGGATTCAGCGTTTCTAATTTCCTACCTTACTGTGCAGATGATGTTGGTAATAGTTATAATAATACCTGCCACTTATATAATACTCATGTCTCAGGCATGGTTCTAAACACTTAATCTGTATTTAATCTTCATAAGGAAAATTGTAGCAGCTGTTTTTATTCCTATTTCACATATGAGGAAACTGAGGCACATAAGGGCTATGTAATTTGAGCAAGTTCACATCGCTAGTGAGTCGGAGGGCTGAGATTCAACCCCAGGCAGTTGGGCTCCAGTGTCCACGTTCTTATCCACTGCATTGTACTGGTAGCAATCACATATCTCCAGGAGACTCTGTTACCTGGTTAGGAAGAGGTAGATCACTCTTTATTATAGAAAATTATAGCATTTTGACAATTTGTTGTAACTCAGAGTAATACTGCTGTTATAGGCAAACGTTGTAACAGGGAAGTCACTCCACATAGAATCCAGTGGTTGGAAGTGCATTTATATAAACTGATAATGAATAAGAGCCTAAAATATAAGAATATTTAAGATTTTTAAGAGATACAGGAAGTACTGAGAATATTAGAAATCATTAATTTGTCAGATTTTTATTTCTAAGTAGATTTTAAGACTTTTTAAAGTTCGATTTGATGGCAGAAAATTATAGTCAAATTCATATATGGGCAGGTTGGTACATATTTGTGTTAGTCTGAGACTTGACACAGTTTCCTCTTTCTTGCCTAATACTTTACAGAAAGTCATTTTAAGAGAAAACTGAGGCCGGGCGCGGTGGCTCACGCCTGTAATCCTAGCACTCTGGGAGGCCGAGGTGGGTGGATCGTTTGCGCTCAGGAGTTCAAGACCAGCCTGAGCAAGAGCAAGACCCCATCTCTACTAAAATTAGAAAGAAATTAATCGGACAACTAAAAATATATGTAAAAAATTAGCCAGGCATGGTGGCGCATGCCTATAGTCCCAGCTACTCCCATTACTGTACTGTAATGGGAGGCTGAGACAGGAGGATCGCTTGAGCCCAGGAGTTTGAGGTTGCTGTGAGCTAGGCTGATGCCACGGCGCTCTAGCCCAGG